GTTGGAAATAGGAATTGGAATTTCAGTGAATTCGAACCTGACTAAAACTGAATGATGAAAAAACGACCCTACCCTGGGTTACAAGTGCGTGGTCTGTAAACCTCCCGGGAACCCCCTAAGCCTAGAGCCGCCAGGTCGCGGCATATCACGCAGGGTTTGGCCTGTCGGCCCACAGGAGTTTCAGCGCACAGCGCCCCGTAAACCAGGGTAGGGGCGTTTTTTCTGCCCTTGATAAGACACTTCCTCTTTCAGTTGTTTTAAAAGCGTAACTCCTCAGAACAACCGGGCGCGCGGGCCCCCTGGACGCGCGGGGGCTGGCGCAGCGCAGCCCGTGGCTCGGCGCGCACGGCAGGCCCGCCGAGCGGCACCCGGGCACGGGGCGACTCGGTGCCACTGCGCCGCCCTGCGCCACACTGGGCCGCGGCCTGCCTGCTCGTCGGGCTGCTGGCTGCACCTCGGCGGCATGGGCCCGGAGGCGGGCGCCGGGAGGGGGGGGGGGGGGGGCTCGCGGGCCCTCTCGGCGCACTCGGCTGCGCGCCGGGCGCGCGGGAGGCGCTGCCGTCTGCTGGGCAGGAGAGCCCAGCCTCGAAGCGAGGCGTCGGATCGGTGACCGAAAGGAATGGGATCGGCGGAACTCGGCAGCCGCGTCGGGAGAGGTCGAATCGGCGGAAAAATCGGCAGGCCAGGAGGCCTCCATCGAAATCGAATCGAATCGGAATCAAATCGAATCAAATCGGAATCCGAAATCGAATCAAATCGGAATCCGAAATCGAATCGAATCGAATCGTCGAATCGAATCGGAGGAATCGTAACGAGCCCTGGCAGGAGCGGGGTAAGCTGCCCGCGGGCACGCTGGCGGCGGGGGGGCCTCGGGCGGCGGCACGTCCACCGTGTGACGAGGGCCTCGCTGCGGGCTGCTGCCTCGAGCGGAGCGTGGGAGAGGACGGCGAGGCGCCGCGCGGCGAGGCCAGCGGCACCGTCCTCGGCCAGGCCGTCCACGCGGCCGAGCGGCCCAGGCGACGAAGGACATCCGAAGTCGTCGGGGCAAGGTCAAGCTCGGCGGGTCCCCTCCTGCGCCGCGTGGTCGTCCGCAGATCGAGGAGACCCTCGAGATGGACTTCAGCGGCGTTCTCCACGTCCACGCCCAGAGCAAGGGCACTGGCAAGACAGCCCCTCCCTCACCGACCATGGCTTCCTCGGCCCTGCAGGCGATTCCTGCGAGGCCAGCGCGCTGGCAACAAGCACCTGGTCCGCGGAGGCGCGTGGCAGCCGTGTCGCCATGCCGCCGTCCCCACTGGCTGCGCCGCAGGCCGTGTGGCCTTCGCGTCCTGCGACACTCGACCTGATGGATGCCGACTCACCGCGGTGTCCACGGCGTCGTCGGGCCTCTGTGTCGCGGCGTGGCGGCTTCGCCTGCTGGTTCACCTCTGTGCTGCGTTCGAGTAAGGGATCGGCTGTAGAATTGAATTGCCCCAACATTGATTTCCTCGTCGAATCCATGCATCAAGCGTAGACTGTTCGTTCTGCGAGCGTTACACGAACGTTTTTTGTTTGTTCATGGCTTCGGCGGGAAAATGAATCTTGTGATCAATCAATTCTGCAGCAGCTCCCCTACTCGATGCGTGGTGGACGCGCAGCGGCAGGCCGCCATCGGCATCGCAGGGGATCGCCCACGGGCTGACACTGCCACTGCGTGACCTGGATTGATTGGGAGCGGGCAGGCTTGTAGGTGTAGTAGTAGTAGTAGTAGTAGTAGTAGTAGTAGTAGTAGTAGTAGTAGTAGTAGTAGTAGTAGTAGTAGTAGTAGTAGTAGTAGTAGTGGTGGTGGTGGTGGTGGTGGTGGTGGTGGTGGTGGTGGTGGTGGTAGTAGTAGTAGTAGTAGTAGTAGCAGCAGTAGCAGTAGTAGTAGTAGTAGTAGTAGTAGTAGTAGTAGTAGTAGTAGTAGTAGTAGTAGTAGTAGTAGTAGTAGTACTAGAAATCGTAGTAGTATTAGTAGTAGTACTCCTGCATCGACGGGAGGCGGGGCAGGGCTCGGCTCTCGCCACGTGTTCGACGAACTCCGAACCCCACCCCCGCAGCCCATCTGGTTGCCCGTGGATCGGCGAGGGTCGGGCTCGGACTCTGCCGCCGAGCTGGGGCGCGCTGGCAGGGCCCCTCGCGAGGGCGCCGAGGAGTTCGCCGAGGAGGCTGCTCCGATCATGCGGCCGATGCCGCCTGCTGCGCCGCCGCCAGGGTTCGAGCCGTGGGACCCCGCGGTCGAGGAGGCTGCCGCCAAGGCGCGGCCGAGACCCAACGCACGGCGCTAAAGCAACCCACGGCGGCAAAACAGAGCGGCCCCGCTGTGGAGCCCGCGGCGGCGGCCTCGCTGGGGCGGCGCTGGCGCTGGCTGGCCTGCGATGCGCGAGCCCCCGACGCGCTCCTCGAGGGCGCCCTGCGGGGCCGAGCATCGGCTCGGGGTTGCCCACCAGGCCTGGCCAAACATGGCTAACCTGTCGGGAAC